AAAATCTCATTCTCCGAGTGCTCGAACTGCAAGTCGAGATAACATTTTATTTTCCCAAGATATTCACATCAAATTCTCTTTTTAGGTAACTTATGACACTTGGAATCTCTTCGGGAGTTCCAATAATATTTAAGTTATCAACATATAAAACAAACCCCTTTTCAAATAAAAACATATGAACAAATAGGGTTATTTTTTATAACTTTCTTTCAAGAAATGATCATTGAAGTGATTATATCACATGCACACGGGTTAGTAATAAACGAGTAGATATAAAAATAAAATATAAAAAGTATAAATTGAATTTCTAAAAACCAAAATAATAAAACAAATACTAAAATAATCCTAATAAAGATCTCTATAATTTAATTAAATTCTTTTCTCGAGAATATGTATTACATGCTTCGGCATGTTAAGTCCTTCTAGGACTTTCATACCGATATCATTTCAAATGAACAAATAAAATGTGATCACATTCATTAAATGCATGTATATGAATGTTTTTCATATATTTTTCCAAGCTAATGAGATAACAAAAGACAATTGCATCCACTATAGGAGAATATGTCTCCTCATAGTCAATGTCAATTCTTTACGAAAACTTTTGTGTTAAAAGTTTTGCTTTATATCTTATAATCTCATCTTTTTTATTTTATTTTCGCATAAATACATATTTGTATCCCACTAGCTTAACACTTTAGGTGTTTTAGCTATGGGTTCAAAAAACTACTCTTTTATAATAGAACATAATTTTGTCTAGATTGCTCTTTTCATTTAGGCCAATCATCTTTATATCGACATTCTTTAATAATTTAGGCTTAGAATCCTTATTTTCATCCATAATATCAATTGCAATATTATATGCAAAAATCCTATCAATAGATATTTCTTTTCGATCCTATTTTCTCCCTGCATTGATATAATTTATCAAAATCTCTTGATTTTTCTCAAGTATTTGGACTTCTTCGGAAGCCTATTATCGAAATATATTGGACCGTTGTGCGAATATTTTCATCTTGCCCTTTTCTTTTAGAGAATTTTATCTTTAGAATCGATCGATCTTCCACGCTTCGGGCGTGTTTTAGATTCATTGGTTATAACATTAATAGATCGCCCTTCTAAGGCATCAATTCTAATAGGAGCATTGTTAGCGGGGACATGTATTTTAGTTACTCATTTAAGATTTGAGAATGTATCCGGTAGTCGGTTTCTAATACCTTATAAATGAATTATCTTTTGAAGTTACGGTTCACATTATTTTGTACGAGATTCAATATGATATAAAGATAGAGTACTCCATGTAATCTTTTTTTTCAACATTTTCAACTACTTATTTTTCTCTCTCCCCTAATGTTGGAAAAACTTTTTCATCAAAATGAAAGTCAATAAATCGAGTCTGTAAAAATACCTCTTATTCATGAATCAAGAGATCGAAGAGGATTTAAATCCAACATATATTCTCAATCTCCTTTAAGTGCTCATTTTATTTTCTTATGAAGGAGCACTAAGGATATACACTGCAATGTCGGATGACCATAAATCAACCGAAGATGAGAGTATTTCGATAACTTATGGGTCATATGTGAATAACCGTTGCTTGCATGTAAGATTGCATGTCCCCAAACATAAATAGGGAGTTTTATTTTTAAATAATGGTTTAGCTATCAATTAGAGCCTTTTGATAAATGATTTTGCTAAACCTTTTAGAGTATGAACATGAGCAACAGGATGTTCAACCTTTATTTTAATAGCCAATCAATAATAATTTAATGCTTGAGAAATAAATTCATCGAGCATTATCAAGGTGACTTGTTTTAATGGCATAATTTGAAAATTATGCTCAAAATCAAATTATTTGCTAGCAATCTCGAAAACGTCGGGTTTCGAATAGATAACAAGCATATATGTGACCATCTTGTGGATGCATTTATCAAAATTATAAAATATGTAAATGGTCCACATGGTGGATGAATTAATCCACATATATCACCTTGAATATATTCTAAAATAGTGGAGATTCAATCTCAATTTTACTTGATGATGGCTTAATCATCAATTTACCTTGGCAACATGCAAAACATGAAAGTTCATTAAATTGAAGAATCTTCTAGCTCTTCGATAGATGTCCTTATGAATTTTTAATAATTTTTCGCATCATGAAAGACCCAAGATAGCACAACTGGTCATGTCATATAATAAAAGTATTTGAATTAGTAAACTTCGGTTTACTATAATATTTGTTTCAATCATTTCAATGTTTGTAATAAAGACTAGAAGAGAAAACGGATAAATTTTTTTGATAGATATTTTCTACTCGGTATAATGATTATAACATATAAGAATTCGCATTTGCTATCTTGATATGATATCAATTTAGATAAATATCTTTAAAACTCAACAAATATCCATGAGACTTTGAAGAGAATAGTACATCATTCATAATAAATTTATCCTTTCAGATAATAACATATTTGCTCTTCCGGAGCCTTTAAATTAGTCACTTCAAGTAATAATATATCGACTCTTCTAGAGCCTTTAAAAATTTTCTCTTCAAGTAATAATTTATTCACTCTTCTAGAGCTTTAAAAATTTATCTCTTCAAGTCATTATATAATCGCTCTTCTAGAGCCTTCAAAATCTATCTCTTTAGATAATAATATAGTCGCTCTTCTAGAGCTTTCTATTATATTGATATTATCATATATAATATTAACATAAAATAAATAATCAAATAAATCAATACAAAATAAATAAATCAATATATGCCTCGTAAACATAAACAAAATAAATAAATAGTAAAATAAATTTGTAACCATCAATATACGACATAAATTATAATAAATATAAAATATTTTATTTATAAATAGAAAAACTAACAAATAATTAATTTCAATTACTATTACTTTGATATATAAAGTGGCCTTCATATTTTACTCTTTATTTTTCAATAAGGCTTGACAAGGCTCAATGAGGTACTTTGGTGTACGGCGAGTACACGATCAATATTCATTCATTCCACATCTATAATATTTATTTTTCGAATACCGATTTTATCTTCTTTTTTTCATAGTTATCAACTTCGATGGTGAGATGTAATATTATGTCATCACAATTATAATGATAATTATTTTGACAACATCCATGGCTATGATTACATCTTCGTCCATGTCTAAAATTATTATAAATTGTCACATTCACTTCGGGGAATGGAATAGATCTAATTGGAGGAGATTTATTCTTTTTCATTAATAGCTTTTCATTTTATTTAGCCATGAGCAAATATGAAATCGATTCGAATATTTCTTAAACTCTTTTTCTTAATATGCTACTACATGAGCATATCCAAGACATAAAAATTAGAGAATATTTTTTCAAAATCAAGCACTCATAATCAATAATTCTTATTAAAAATATTAAGAGTAACTAAATCAAGTTTATGAGGTTTGATATGATAAAAATTCTATAATATAATATATAATAATAATATTAGAAAATAAGAACAAATATAATAATAAAATTAAAGCTTTTCAAATGACATATATTAGATCATTAGTAGATCATTTAAGTTTTTCAAATATATATTTCATGTATTAATAGATTTAAAATACATGAATAAATTAGATACATACCTCTTAATGATCTAAATAATTTAGATCTTTTCGTGGAGCACTTGTGTAGAAGAAATCCAATTGTTAAAATAATTGATTAAATCTTTTGGTAGATACATACATTATGGTCTATTGTCTCGATTGGTTAGAGCTTCGTGCTGATAACGTATTATAAAATAAATAAAAATGATAGGAGAATTGAAGAAAAGGATGACAAGAAAATGAAATCATTATAATGTGAATATGGGTGATAAGAAATTCAAAGTTTCTCTTATTCTCTCTAGGAAACTTGTACATCAACAAATGAACAATCAAGCCTATTTATAGGCCTCAAAATTGAGATGAGAATTAGAAGGGACTATGAATAATTAAAAGTACATCAATTACATCACCCTTTCAATTTCTCATATTGAATGGTGGATTGAATCACATTAAGGATTATGAGTAGTGGAGATATGAAAAGTAGATGAACAGATCATATGGACATTCATTATTTTATAACGACATCCTAATTCTTTTAGTTTTTTTTTTTCTTTTTTCTAATCACACAAACAATAATAAGATGCAAAAATTAATTTTTTGTTAAATAACAGCAATTATTCATCAAATAACAACGTTATATACCATATAACAACCGTCATTATGCTTCCTATAATAGCATTGAACAATAATGGCCGATATTTGAAAATATGAGTGAACTTCACCCTTAGTTCATTCTATGAAAGGCTAAATGTAAGGCATCACATTCGTAGGTTACAATTTATGAAAGTATTTGGTTTCACACATAACCGGTTGACCTCAAAGTAGCAATCTCCAATAACACACTGACAAGAGCTGCTACAGTTAATCCTCTTGAATAATCGACATCATTTTGTCAATTTATTACAAAACCTTTCCACAAGGATGTATATCTATATGTTAGATACTCTATGACCACAGATAATACTTCTCCACGTAGCATCTTACAGTAACAGTCTATCAAGAGCAGCAGTCCCACAATCCAGATTACCAACAATCTTGTGCAAGAAGAGATCCTAAGCCATCCGTAAGAGCTTACTGGTCAAACTCAACAATCTGCCCATAAAATTTGTAGCATCTTACAGTGAAAAATTGAGCCAACAGGAAAAAGAAGATTAGAAATGCTCATTTTGCAATGATGCCGCTATCACTCAAGGAGGGCTGAGTGCGGGCACAGCATTCATAACTCCATAATTTACCCCATTACACAAATTGCCTATCAGCTGCTGCTTTTGTTTCAAGCAAGGAGGGTGAAGTGATCTGAAGATCCCTTAATTTTGAAGGGATCTGCACATTGTAACAAGGAAAAAAAAAAAAAAATTGGAAATCTATGAAGAACATGAGAGAGAAAGAGGGGCTAGAGAAGATTTTTTCTTAAATCTTGTCATGCAGGTTGACCACCAAGTCATGGGCATTGTCGAGAAGCTTCCATACATCCAATTGCCCAGCCATGCTATTGCACTCTCTCATAATCTCATCCATACTGCTGTACTTCTCAATGATCAGTTTCCTCCTCTGCAGCACACAAGCTGCTATTGCATAAAGCAGCAGATCATCGCTTGGAGGGGCTCTCAGCCTCATCCTCCCCCATGCAGACCTGGCAATCCCTGCCCGTATTGCTGCCTGGTCTGCCCACATCACCTCCCAGAGGCAGAGTGTTTGATCAAGGTTTAACTCCCTTCTGAAAAGAACAACCACCATTCTGTACACAAAGAAGCAGTCTTCCGCTTGAAGCTTCTCCAGGTGTTTGTAGAGATGGCTATCCTTGCACTTGATTATCTTGGAAACCATACCCAGTTGCCTCCGGATACCCACTTCATCAAGCCGGAAGTTATGCCGAGCTTTCTTCATGAAGCCTGCAAAACACCAGAAGGCTAAAAAATCCTCCTCCATCACTGCAATAATGGGTGAGAGTAAATCGCTCATTCCTTGACAGTAACCAATCTCGGGATCATAAAGTGCATATGCCTCAAGGATAGTAACAAGGCGAGCAGCATGAAAGATCCTGCTTGGCTCCAAGTGATCATAGTCCTGCAACCCTACACTCTCAGCCAGTCGTCGTGCCTTCATCTCAGGTACTGCAGCCTGAGATGGTGAGTACATTATCCATTCACCATTTGCACGCACTGCATCAACACGCATGATTCTCTGCCATGTGGCAAAATCCTCATCTCTCTGCGATTTCAACTTGCTTTCTGTCTCAGAGGAATAGGAATTGTCCTGAGAAAGCAGATCAAAATCATTTTCGCCAGTGAATTCAGTTGCAAGAAAAGATTCTGCAATTTCAGGTTCTTCAGAGGAATCGGAATCAGTTGACTCCATGTCTCCAGCCAAGCCATCTTCATAGGTGACCACACTCCCATCACCATCTCCTTCCAATATTGAGTCAGAGCCCTGAGGAGCTTGATCGGGGTAATCAAAAACCTCAGCAGCTAAGTTGCCTTGCTCAGCGGAAGGTGACCTGCTGACAAGAGCAACATCTTCTAATCTAGTAGAATCCATCACTTGACTCAAGTCCCCACTGACCTCAGTGCTGCTGATTCCAGTAGCTTCCTTGGACTTAAAACTCCTGTCATTGCATTTGAGCTGCCGTCGACATTGTTTCCGTAGATTCTCATATTCTTTTCTGCAGTGGATTTATATATAAGAATCTCAACTAGGGAAAGAACAGAAAACACAAGATTACAAAGGAATTTGGAAACGAGAGAATGTTCATCCATCACAAAAAACCTCATAGTAAGAGAATTGTGATACCTTTTCAGATCTTGAATGCAGTCTCTTTCTTCCTTGGAACTGTTCACATCGTAGCTGTTGAAAAGAACTCAACAATCAATAAAAAAGCAGCGCTAATACATCCTCACAACAAACGAACAAAAACAAATAGAAAAGAGCCTCCTAGGACATACGATCAGAAAATGATAGCATAAATTGCAAGTGCATATCCCAAATAAGAAAATTATAAATCTTGAGGCCTTTGCTATGAGTATGTTTGCATTCACCAAATGTGTTGCCATCAATTACATTGTTCCTGGCTTACCATTGATGATTTTGCCAAATATGCAGATATAAGACTCATTTATGAGCACCTTGTGACCACAAAAATTAAATGTAATGACAATGTACTGATGAGAAGCTCCTATTTTGCTTAATTATAAAGATACCCTCAGAGTATAAACAACTCAACCAAATTTCTGGCATGTAGATACTAAGAAAATCACATACAAACTGCCACATAAACAAGAACTTACATGCCAAGGAGAAATGGCCAAACCTCTGGTCTTATACTTGGATCAACACCCTGCATTAGAGTATAAGAAAAACTAACACTCCATCAGCAGTTACAAATGTAGTGTCAGGGAAATATAAACAACATAAGACCTGGTGAATAACTAAACAGTCAAAAAATCAGTCACAGTAGAGACAGCAACATACCCCACTTCGTGCTTTCTTCAGAAACTTAACACCACCATCACACAATTTCCCATCAGGCATAAATAAACTTTTCCATTGCTTTGGTAAAAGCGCATGTTTTCTTCTCCTGTGCGACCAAGGAGATTTAAGACCACCCCTGCGACAAAAAAAAAAAAAAAAAAAAGAAACACGACCAGTTATTCTACAATAATCATCAACGAAAACCAGATTCCCAAACCAAAGATAGTATAAGCAGATTGCTTCCACTTTCTTCCAAAATGGGAGTCCACATTGAACAGCTAATTCTACGTGTGACACTAGTTTAAGAACTTTAGAATTTATTCTTCTAGGAAGCTCAAACACTTCAGTTGCACAAGGCATCTATACTTTCACAGATTCAAGAACTGTTCCGAAATTCTAATAACAAGACAGCAAAAGGCAAGGAAAAGGAGCGAGAAGAATCAGGATCTAGCAAGATAGAATAACACAGCGAGAAAAAGGGATCATTTCTAGACAACTAAGAGATTGGATCTAAGGAAAAATGAAACTTTATTGAAAGGAATTGAAGAACTCACCGATTACTCGAAACTGGTGAGGAAGAAGATGATGATGAAGACGACGATGAAGAGGAAGTAACTACTAACAAAACTGATCGCAAATGAATCCACGATGAAGACGATGACGACGACGGTGAGGAGGAGGAGGAATTTGACGGCGAAGAAGATGAAGAAGGAGTATGGCTTCGCTTTAAGGCTCTCATTAACGGTTTCTGTTGCATCAACATCTAAATATATCTATCTAGGGTTTCTTTGGTGACGGTTACTCTAAATTTTGAATTAAGAGACCCAATTATTTGAAAAATGAGGGTTTTGATTGTTGATTTGTTGTTTTACCTACGAGAATAGACGACGGTGGCGGCCAAGGCAATACCGGCCATGGCCGTGACAGCGATGGCTATACTAACATTGGAAGGAGCCGTCGCGGCGCCCCAAAAACCACCGCCAGCGCCACCAACGATCCAGCCGCTCCTCCCTGACCCGGTGCTTCCAGTGCTAGCTTCGGCGAACACGATCCATTTCAAAAAACCACCGCCACCGGCGGAGGAGGAGAGGAGCATTAACAGTGAAATGACGGAGATGGACTTATGGGATAGTTGTAATAGGAGTCTCTGCCTTTTTGGATTCGATAACACCATCACCAAAGCGAAGAAACCCTTAAAGCCTTAAGGCCTCTCTTCTCTCTCTCTTTATTTTTTATTTTTTTAATGAGTATTATTATTATTGTTTTCTTTCTCTCGACACCAATTACTTTTTCTGTGCTTAACTCTCTTTTCATGAAGGAAGTAATTATAGCGTGATTTTAATTTATTATTGTTTGCTCGCCCTTCTTTTTCCCCCTTTTTTAGCAAATTATAATTTAATTCCTAATGTTTAAGGTTATTACATGTTAGTCCTTGTTGTTTTGAAAATTATAAGTTAGTCTCTGGACCAGAATTTAATGTTACTTCTTTTTTAATTATCCAAAATTTTCTCCTTGATTGGACCTTCTTTTTTTTTTTTTTTAGCATTCGATGAGATTGAATTTTTGACTCCAAATGAATGGTATTTTAGTAAAAGAATGATTAAATTGTAAAGGATTAAATTGCAACAGCTATAAAACATAATAATTCTTCTTTCTTTCTTTTTAAGGATGTTTTCTAAATCCAATTTCATACACCTAAACTAAAATTTTTCTTCCATATATTTTTATGTAAGTCACCCGCATTCGGTTAAATAAGGGTATTATCTAATATTTAAGCTGAATTTAAAAGTTATTGAACTAGTTTTCACTCATAAAAATTAAGTTAAGTTAATTATTGATTGGTCTTGAAAAATTATTCATATACCAATTGCTATGTTCATTAAAAAATATTTTTATGCTTTCATTAAATTTGGATTCAAGATAATAATATATGAGAAAACTTATTTATTGTCTTACCATCGTAGATTTTTAAGTGGTTCGGACCTCGTAACTAACTTGATTCTTAACCTATTATTGGTTTTTAATTTTTTTTATAAGTTTTATAAGTTTAAATACATTTTCTTATTGGCTAGAATATTTTTGAATTAGCTTTGATATAAAAAAATTCAAAATTATATTTTATCGAGTATCAATGTGTCCAATTGGCATATTTATGACGAATTTTTTTTCTTAAGATCTATACTTTAATTTGAATCTTAGACAATGATGTGAAAGTATATCAAGTTTAGATTAAGTCTTTAAGATATAAGTTTGAATTTATCACCAATAAATCTAAGTGTTTAAGAAATATGAAACTTGTGTACTAAATTGGTGTTCGGTTTGCTAAATGTCAAGGATGTAACTTACAAGTTACATAATTATAAAATGTTGGTCATGAACTTTGTGATTGTGAATTTGGATGGAATAAAATAAATTTACCATGCGACGACTATAAATGGATTGAAACTGCAATGGAAGAAAATACAATCATTTTCTTGCAAAACATAATTTACCATTTTGGACGGATTTCACTATTTATTATTATTATTATTATTTTATGCTTTGTTAAAATTTTCAAGTGCACTTATAGAGTATACTAGATCATAAATGCTAAAAGGATCTGACATCTCTGATCCCACCAACTATGACTTATTTGAAATTGAGTTTATATTTGTTTTTTATTGATTCATGAGCTTTTAATTTTTTGAGATTAAATCTAATTTTTAGTTTTTCTATCGTTTATCTTAAAAAAAAATAATCTCATAAATAGTTTTATAATGAAAATCATTTGGTGATATTTATGTGAGAATCCTTAAAAACTTTAAAATCATTTTGGGATTATTTTTTATTTTTCTTAATTTTTTATATTTTTAATATTAAAAAATAAGCAAATGTATTTTTCAATTTTGAAAAATTCTGAAAATTTTATTTACAATGGATTGAGTTTTTTTTTTTTTGTAACAAGTGTGAAAAATTTTAATTCAAAATACCAAAAATTAAATTTTTTTATAAGAGAAATAATAACCGAAAAAATTAGGTGAACGTAATTTCAAAACTTATAAGGTGTCTGTTTGGTAATCGGGAATAAAACAATAGGAATGGGAATGAAGGAATCGGAATGAAAAACGGGGAATGGGAATGGGAATGGGAATCGAAATATTGTGTTTGGTATCTTACTATTAGGAATTGGAATGAAACACTCGAAATAACTATTACCGTGTTTGGTATAGACAAATAGGAATCGGAATGATATCGTATAATTACCATCGTATCCTTCAACGACCATAATAAATTTTGTCATAAAAACAATTAAAATTTAAAAAAAGATTATATGAATATTTTTTATTATTATTTTAAAACAAGCTAATTGTTTTACACACAAAAAGATTATATGAATATTTTTTATCAATCAAATAAAGACAATTTTTTATCATCTCTCCTTGATTACGACTAAAAATAGTCTCTTTTTTCTTATTGAACCGCCTATTACGATCACACATTTTTCCCGATTCTTGAAAAGGACATTATGTCTAAAAGCATTATTTGATTGATAAAAAAATGGCCCCGTGAACCATTTACGAACGAGAGACAAGGAAATACAACGACTTAAGCATGAATTATTTTTGAAAAATAAGGAAATGCGTCATTTTAAAAACTAACAAGATCTAAGAGAGAAGGAGTTTAAAAAGTTGAGGATAGCCATTCGGTCTACATGTATTGATTTGGGCAATGCAATTACAACGGCTGGCAACGCTCTTGTACATCAAAATAAAAGGGCTCTTCCGAAGAAAGGAACTGAAAAATTATTTATAGAAGCGGACCTCACTAGAGCAGTTGTCATCACCAATGGATAGGATTGAAGACTCAACTTCCTAGGCCAGCAAAGATGTCATAACTCAAATTTTTTCCACTTTTAATTATTTTTCATTTATTCCAGCTTTTTTTTAGTTGGAGAGTATCAACCAACGCCGTGAAATATAAAAATCTTCTCGCAGTCTCATCGGATGCCATTTTTTGTCTCCTCGGGGACATCCAATGAATTGTCTTCTCCGGAGACAATATGATGAAAATGGATGGTAGAGTCACTGGAACAATTAAATTAAAATTTGAGACTTTCAAATTAACTATTATTAAATCTATCGAGAAAATCAATCGGTGAATCAATGGCGCGTGTGTACATACCAATACGGAACTCGGAGGAAGAAGTTAGGGTAGCTCTAGATCGGCTTCCTAAAGACGCCTCGATATTCTCGATATCTTTAAAGCCGAGCAAGCTCCTCTCGATCTTTGGCTCATCATCGCCGTTCGTCTCTCTCCGATTTCTCCTATAATTATATATTTTTCAGAATCTCTCAACCTAGGGCACTCAATAATAATAATAATAATAATATACTTTGCTCGCTTATAGTTAATTTTATGTTTTCTTTTGTTAAATTGATGATTTAATGCCAACTTGACATGTTTAAGAATAACAACACAAATGCAATCATAATCGGGATCCGACACCAACTTTCAAATTAAAACACAAAATTCAATTATACGAAAATATATTCAAGGCTAAAATATGCAAATAACTCGCTCATATCAATCCAAAGTATGCTATAAATGCAACTTAAATAGTGTCAAATGATTTTCCGAGTCAACATATGAGCGAGACTACGCTATAAAAAAATTCTTAAAAAAGCATAAAATTATAAATTCAACTACTTGCTAAGTGTAGCGAGCAACATTGCTACAATTAATTAGTAGACCCAATCTCGATACGTGCAAACATGACCTTGTAATTATCCGGGATACTAAAAAACACTTCCACCTTCTTATCATCTTGACCAATGATGCTTCGTTGCTTTAACTAATTCGAGTTCGGAGAAAGTCCTTCAAGGTTCGCTAAAGTTTCAAACACTTTGCTCCTTTTTTCACTCATAACGAGATGTTAATTCCTTCTCGGTTTCAACTAAACTTTTGATGGACTTTGATAGCTCCATAAACTCGCTTGTAAAGGATCGGTTGCTCCAAATTTTCTCTTGTACTTTGATTTTCCAGCTTCGGATGAATAGGTCGCTTCTTGACTTATAAAAGCTGAATGTGTTGAGTTTGAATGCATCTCATTAGTATCTCCATCATCCACATCGTTGTTAGTTTGGTTATCTACTGTAATTTCTTCTTCTCCAGGACCTCGAGCTTTGTCTCCATTAGCCCTATCTTTTGCATATATTTCACACAATTTATCAAAATGGACAAACGGCTTCATATACAATGCTGATGCTCCATCACGACTCTACATAATACCATTGTATTAATAAATTAAACAACAAAAAATTAAGTTTTAATAATAACTTGAAAGACGAGAGGAAAAAGAAAGATGAACTTTACCTTTGCCCATCCCATAAAGGCCGATTTATCTCCTATCACCATTTTTTTATCATCATCCCATCCAAATCCACTACCATTTTTTTGAATCTCTAATATATAACCAAGTTGCTTCTTCAATATCTTAATTTTTGAGTCAATATGCGGTTTGCCTTTAATACCACATCATGGTAATTTTTCTTCCATAAGCTTCTCAACATGAGTAAAAAATCCATTCTTGTAACCGGTATCCACCTTCCATTTTGTGCCGACTAATTCCAAAAGGATATCAACTAACACCAATTCTTCTTCGCTATTCCACATTCGTTTATTCCTACCCCTTCCTCGACCAGAGTTCATGCTTGTAAATTAACTTGCTCCACTTCTGAATTTTTCATCTAACTAATAAAAGAATTGCATAAGAAAATATATATGCAAAACAATCACATACTGTTCACATCACAGTTGGAATAAACAATATACATACCACCAATCAAATAATATAATTGTTAAAACATTGATAGATGAAAGCATAATAAAAAAAATTAAATTAATTAAAATCTCAATACAAAATAAAACCAATAAAATATTATCTATTTTGTCACTTAGCTCTCCATGAATCATACATTTCTCTAGCTAGATTATACCTCCAAGAAGTCCATTGGTTTGTTGTTTCGGTAGTAGCAATATAACTTACGTTATTATTATCGTTTTCTACTAAGGTATTTAAATATTACTCCATTGGGTCAAGTCTCATTTGTTGTCGAATGAGATTGTGAATATAACAACACGCTAATATGACATCAATTTGTGTATCAATAGGATAGTAAGTTGGATATTTAAGTG